AAGGCAACAAATCAATGTTTCTCTCTCACATTGATGTTTTTCTCTCGCTCTCTAAAGGAATCCATAAGCATATCATGGGTGAGGATTAAAAAAGAAAGTAAGGGGAGGGTGGGCCCAAAGTCAGAATTAAAGAAAAACAGACATATGTTCAACCAAAGAACTTGTATGCATATATGCATAACCCATGGACACAGACAATAGTGTGGTAAAGGCCAGGGGCAGGGGCGGGCTAAGGGGTCAATGGGGAGAAAGGAGGACATATGTAATACTTTCATCAATAAAGATTTAAAAAGAAAGAAACACAAACAGACACAGATCAACAAAAACAATAAACTTCCAAATCTTCCAGAATAATATTTTAAAAATTCAACCAAAATGTCACACTGCCTAATTCATATATGAGCATCACTGGTAAAGTTGACATTATACTCTATAGCAAATATTTAGAATTAATTAACAAAGAGGCAGTTTATAATGACTGACATAATCATCCCAGGAGCCACAAAGCCCCTAATGTTTAAAAAAAAAAAAAAAAGGCAAGGCAATTTTTATGCCATTATTTTGACAGAGGAAATGCTTTGTAACTTCAATTTTGACAAAGTACCAAGTCTTCCATTAAATCCACAAGTGGAAGAAAGACAAGATTGGGGATCACAACTGGTTGAATAACAGCAAATGATGCAGATAAATGGCTGAAGTCCACAGAGAGAGGTCTCTAAAGTTTCTATATTAGGCCTTACGCTACTCAACAAAATTATTATTGGTTAATATAAAGCACATAATGCATACTTCATTTGCAGCTAAAACAAAGTTATTTATCTGCTGCTAATATATAGGATCACTAAATGAGATTTTTAAGCCTCTATGGAAGAGAATCATAAGCCAAAGTTAATTAGATGAAATTTAGCATAACTAGATTTTTTTAATGCATTAACTACACATAAACAATTGCACCGGAAAAAGTACAGCTGAAGAGCATTTTGTTTAAGAATAAAATATAGAAAAATAGTTTAGGTTTCAATTGTCTACAGTCTCAGTAAGGGTCAGTAATGCAATGTGGTTGACAAAATAAAAATTCACTTCTGGCATCACAACTTGAAAGGAACAGAAAAAAATTTAGCAAAGCAAAAGGTCCAAAAATCTGCCAAATAAAAGGAACAGCTGAAAGAACTAAATATATTTATGCCTGAAAAACAAAAATTGAGAAGATTATGATGGGACTCTTCAAATACATAAATGGTTATAATATAAAAATATATTATCTTTATGGGTTTAAGATAAATAGTATTATGTACATGTTACAGGAAAATATTTTAATTGTTTCATTAAAGTGAGCTATACAAAGATGGAAAGGCTAGATTGTGATACATTAAACATCACAGGATGTACTTTAACAAAGAATGGATATTAGTGATCTCTGGTGCATTACTAATGCCACAATCCTAAACAAAAGATAAATAATAGTTGAGCTAGGAAAACAATAGAATTCATTTGAAAAGGGGGAATCAAATAGGAAAGTAAATATCCAAGAGAGCTGACAAATGGGGAGATGTTTGGTTAATTAGAATAAAAATAAACTTCAAGTAAAAATATTCAAGCCCCACCGGTGTGGCTCAGTGGTTGAGCGTCAATCTAGGAACCAAGAGGTCATGGTTCGATTCCGGTGGTCAGGGCACATGTCCAGGTTGCAGGCTCGGTCCCCAGTGGGGGGAGCTACGGGAGCATGATGTTTCTCTCTCATTGATGTTTCTATCTCTCCATCCCTCTCCCTTCTCTTCTCTTGCTCTAAAAAGTTAATAAAAACATATTTTAAAAAAATATTCAAGGTATAAGTGACAAAACAATTTTAACTAGATCAGTCTCATAAGCAAAGGAAAAGGAAATGAGGTTAACTAGGACAACCCACACTGGTGGAATGTAAATATGGATAACAAAAAAGAACGAAAAATAATATGGTAGTCACAGCTTTGACCACATTAGTCCAATTAAGTTATAGGCAGAAGTCTTATACATGAAGCACATGATAAAAACACTGATTTAGGAGAATAATCAGTCTAAAGCAGAACAAAGTTCCATAGGTTTAACCCAAAAAGCCAAGTAAGAGAAATATAATCAAATGCATGTGTGTATGTGTGTGTTCGTGTGCACATATATAACTAGTTGAGATGAAAAAGGAGTGAAAATCTTTCTGTGGCTTATAATTAAGCACATAACAGACATTAAATGCACAGAAGAATTATGAATAATTAGTCCTTAAATGGTTACCATCTGCCAGGTAGGTACTAGAATTATAGCAGGCAGTCTACTTCACAAGTTATATAAATTTCTAACCACAGTGCTGTACACCTGAAAATAATATAATGTTGAATGTCAACTGTAATTGAAAAACAACTTTTGATTAAAAACATGGTTACCATGGCCAAACTAATAGTAATTACTAAAATAAGTAAAATTACTCTAAAAGTATGAATAAAAAGTAAAAGTTAGAGAATTAGCAAAATGGTAAAATTAACAAAATTATTTTTACTTGTTATTTATACAAACATTTTATATCTATGGCAAGCCCTAGCTGGTTTAGCTCAATGGATAGAGCAGCAGCCTGTGGACTGAAGGGTCCCAGGTTTGATTTCAGTCAAGGGCACATGCCCGGGTTGCGGGCAAGATCTCCAGTAGGGAGTGTGCAGGACGCAGCCGATTAAGGATTTTCATCATTGATGTTTCTCTCTCTCTCTCTCCCTCTCCCGTCCTCTCTGAAATCAATAAAAATATATGAAAAAAAATCGAATTTAAGGTAATTTAAAAATAAAAATAAAATCTATGGCAAAATTTTCATTTACATTAGAAAACTAATCCAATACTGCTAATTAGCCCAGTTTAAATGACTGATCATTGAAGGACCGTTTATCAGTCCTTTTTTTTTGAAGAAAAGCAAGGTAAGGTGCTATCAATATTTGTTACAATTAGATTTAAAGCAAAAGTTGGTATCAAAAATATGTAAAATAATAATTACTTTTCCCATTTACTGATCAAAACAAGACTTTTTGCAAGATGATCTTATGCAACTATTCTGAAAACCATTTACATGAAAGGAGTATAGAAAAACATTTAATAGTTCAGCCCAGCCATGGCCAGCATGCTCATTGGTTAGAGCATCGGACCCCACATGGAAGGATTGTGGGTTTGATTCCAAGTCAAGGGCATGTACCTGGGTTGCAGGTTTGATCCCCAGCCCCAGTCAGGGCACGTGCAGGAGGCAGCCAATTGATGTATCTCTCTCACATTGTTGTTTCTTTCTCTTTCTCTCTCTCCCTTACACTCTCTCTAAAAATCAATGGGAAAAACATCCTTGGGTGAGGATTAACACACAAAAAAAGATCAGCCCAAATAGTTAAGGAATCAACCAAAGTACTTTGTAAAGAGAGTTTCCCCAGAACAAACTTTTTTTCTTGATTACAGTTTACTTTCAAAGCTAAATGACTTAACAAAATAAACATAATGGTATTAACAAAGTCATATGCTCTATTTCACTTAATCTATCGCATACTTTAGTCACCCACCATTCTTTGTTATCCTCTCATCACTCCAGATATTAAAGGCATTAGATCTTGAAGGATGAGAGAAGTATATTGGAAACCCTATGACAAGAGCATGATGGTGGCTCCTCCACATTTCATCTCAAGATATTAGAGCTCTGGCCACTAACTAACCAGGCCAAGAGCAGATACAGATGCCTCCCTAGAGATTGTTTTAGAGGTGAAATTAAAAAGATAAGGCTAATTCACCAATAACTATCATAAATAACAGCTTTCTTATAAGCTGTCAAGTAAGAATTTCAAGCCTCCATTTTACTCATGTTTTGTTTGAAAGGCTTCATAATCAGTTTCCCAAGATACTTTCCTCCCTCTTAATCAAATCATTAATAGATTTGGATTTAAGTCATACACACACAAAAAAACTATGTTCCTAGAAGGTATCTGGCTAATTTTGGATATTTCTGGCTGTACATATGAGCACACATTACAACTTTGAGATAGTTTTTCTCCTTGAGGGAAAGAAGGGTGGTGGGAGAGAGGAAGGAAATATCAGACTGTTAACACTGAACTCCAGAATAAAGCTTTCAGTTACCTGGAACTATTCTAAAAACATTTTAAGCACTCAGACATATGTAAGTGCATGACCATTCATACACATGCAGTAAAAAAAATTTTTTTTGGAAGCCCCACTCTATCTAGTTCTGAAAATAGTAAACAATTGATAAATGTTTCTTAAATACAGGAATCCAGCAACAGCTGCAATGGAGACATTCTGATAACCTGAAGTGAACTTCCATCAATCTTAACACCCAGGAGGCACAGACTGTTAAACTAAAAATGTTATTATTTGAAAAAAACAGATAATAGAAAAGGAGTTAAATAGGAAAAATATCCTAGACTTTTCTGATCTCTCAACTTATAATTCCTTATACCTAGTAGATACTTCTACACTTACAGAAATCTGAAATGAAAGATAAGCCCAAATGTCATGTTCTCCCATCCCCAGAGAGAGAATCTCTCCTATCTTGACCTGCCCATGTTACGTTAGCTCGTTTATGGCATATCGATTCAGTTATATTTTACATATGCTATATTTACAAATTGATAAAGTTGTTATCAGTTGGGGGAAAATACATAAACATATTCTAGTTCCTTGGTGACAGAGACATCTTTCTATCTAACACAGTGCCTTGAATATAGAAGGCAAGAGTAAATTTTTTGTGAATGAGCAGGTAGTAGAGTCTAGAAATATAATACAGGAAGATTTCATTTATTTATTCCCACACACACTGAGCAACTCAGTCAGGATGACATTATTGCACAGAATGCCATTCTTGTCCATATAAGTTTGAAATTTTAAAAAAGAAAATGTTAAAAAATATACCTTTTACAGCACCTAAAAGGCAATCTGTCTTAGTACTTTCTCATCAGTGTGAAAGAAAAAGGAAAAGTTTTTAAAATACATACTTCTATGTTGAGACTGATGGAAAGAGTAAGTTTTGCTTCTTTCTGGAGAGTAGCTTCTACTACTGACACTGGAGCCAGATCTGCTGTGTGGAGAATCCTTTCTGCCAACAGGTGATTCTCTTAAAAACGGATTTTCTCTTTTGTGAGGAGACCGGTCTCTCACATAATGGGAAGCGTGGAAACTTTTTCTTCTAAAGCCATCTCTCATGTCCCTTTGAAAAGAAAAGAGGTTAATTATATCCTTTACCCCACATATCCACAAATGGCAAAAGCTCTGAATACCAGCTACTCTTCAAACTGTAATCTTGGTTCCCTTTTATACCACCACCTAACTTCTGAAGTCAGCCCACAAAATGAAACTTTATCAGTGAAATATGTTTTAGAATGCATCGTTTTTTCACAGTTTGGGGTAGAACCAGTTGGTAAGTGTAAAAGTTACTTTATTCTAAGCAAGCACAGTAATTTTAAAATGTGAAACCAATAGTCATATAGCTTCTACTTCTTTTTGCCATTAGCAATATACTACCCAGCTGTCATATTCTCAGACACCTAAAGGATGCCAAAGACTTCCCAAGTGAGGTACTCTATGGCCTATTATCGCCTTTTAAGTACAGTATATACTGACTTTCAAATGTTGAGATTTTGCCCCCACATGACAATTTGGCTATACCTACAGACATGTCTGTTATCACAATTAGAGAAGAAGGGGTACCACTGGTGGGTAGAGGGCAAGGATAATGCTAAACCCTACAATGCCCAGGACAGCTCCCATATACACAACAATAAACTATCTGACCAAAAATGTTAATAATGACAAGGCTGAGAAACCCTGATATATGCTTATTAAATCACTGTTTTCTGAATTCGTATTCTTATCTCTAAAACCCAACTTTTTATAATCACTTTTATTTTTACAAATTAAACTTCTTTATTAAGCAATATCCTTAATTCAAAGTAGGAAGCAGGCCTAACTAGCAAAATTTTATAAAATCAAAACTATCTTTAAAACACAAAGCAGCTTAGCCAGCATGGCTCAGTGGTTGAGCATCAATCTATAAACTAGGAGGTTACGGTTCAATTCCAGGTCAGGGCACATGCCTAGGTTGCGGGCTCCATCCCCAATGTGGGGCATGCAAGAGGCAGCCGATCAATGATTCTCTCTCATCATTGATGTTTCTACCTCTTTCTTCCTCTCTGAAATCAATTAAAAATAATAAAAAAAAACCCATAAAGCAAATCAAAATTATTAAACTATCAAGACTTGAGCTTCTATTTAAAAGAACATGTGGAATCAGACCGGTTTTAATTGAAGATTTAGCAAATGTACCTTCATATTAAAATTAAAAAACTTTAGCCCTAGCTGGTTTGGCTCAGTGCATAGAGCGGCGGCCTGCAGACTGAAGGGTCCCAGGTTCGATTCTGGTGAAGGGTACATGCCCAGGTTGTGGGCTCGATCCCCAGTGGGAGGCGTGCAGGAGGCAGCCAATCACTGATTCTCATCATTGATGTTTCTGTCTCTCTCTCTTCCATTCCCTTCCTCTCTGAAATCAATAAAAATATATTTCTAAAAAAATTAAAGAACTCGCCGAAAGCAGTTTGGCTCAGTGGATAGAGCGTTGGCCTGCGGACTCAAGGGTCCCAGGTTCGATTCCGGTCAAGGGCATGTACCTGAGTTGCGGGCACATCCCCAATGCGGGGTGTGCAGGAGGCAGCTGATCGATGTTTCTCTCTCATCGATGTTTCTAACTCTCTATCTCTCTCCCTTCCTCTCTGTAAAAAATCAATAAAATATATTTTTAAAAAAAAATTAAAGAACTTTAAATTTCAGAAGAATGCTAAAAGACAAAGCAATGGCATAAAATTTCCAATGCTAAAAATAATTTCAGCATATTGACTGGCACTCCCCAATATGTAAGTAGGTTGTTATTATCTGATTAGTATCCAAAATATATTGCCTTTATAGTTACACTTATAGTTACACTTAAGTTTCTCTAAGCAAAAAAAAAACACAGAAAACAGTAAAAACTCATGATTAATGAACTTGAACAAAATACTAAAATAAAGAAATTCTAATATATTCAAGTTTAATCACTAAAACTACAGAAGTCACATCAACATCAGTGAAAGCCAGAGTGGCTGTACAGGTATTACACAGGTTTTAGGAACTGTACCAGGTGCTAGGGACCTCATGGTGAACCAAATGCATGCAATCTCTCCCACCACAGGACTCCCGGGTTAGTCAGAAAGGCTAATATTAAAAAAAATAAAATAAAACATGGAAATATAATCAAGAGTGCATGCAGGGAAACTAACTGGTAACCTACTCAGTCCAGGCTAGAGACAGTAACAGCTTAGATACAGCAGAGCAGAAAAGGAGTCACAAATTTAACTTGTACAAGAACACACCTTGGTGGATTCAATGGCACATGGTAAATGTAGTAAGGGTGTCAGGAAATATTAAGCTGATTCCCAGAATTCTGGCACTGATGGATTATTGAAATGAGAAAAGAAAACTATGAGAAGTAGGGATGGCATCTTAGATTCGAACATGTTAAATTTGAAACCTCATGTAAACCTCTTGGTAGGCAACTAGAGAGACTGATGCAAAGACCCGAAGAGATTTTGGTTATAACAATAAATTTGTCAGTAGATAGGCAGTATTTAAGCCTTGAATATGGATGAAAACAAAGGATAAAAAGAGTAGAGGGCCCAGAATTTGGGGCTAGAAAACTACCACACTGAGAGAGAAATGGGCAGTCTGAAAATGAAAGATGGTCACAGAAACATGAAGGAAAGTGCTACGTTATCAAGACAGCCAAGGGAAGAGTGCTCCAAGGGGAGAATAAAGGTCTCCTACACTGAAATAAAATGAGCTCTTACTGTTAACTTACTTTGGGGATGGAGAAGAGGAGGCCAATATTGAGAGAAAAGATTGCCTACTTTCTCTGGGGAGAAAGAAAAGAAACACTGAGCTACAGTTTCCTGGTCCTGACGCCAGATGGCAGTAAAATCACAACAGAATAAACAGTTCAGAACTATCCAGTGACCCGCATGGCTGGATACACTTGGGGAAAATACATGTCAGATTTTAACATCTCAGAGCAAAGTAATGTCTCCTCCCCTTCACATCAACCTCTCCTATTGCCGATAGCGTTAAGCAAAAACATCACAATTGGACCCATCTGGTTTGGCTCAGTGGACAGAACGTTGGCCCGAGGACTGAAGGGTCCCGGGTTCAATTTCGGTAAAGTACCTCGGTTGTAGGCTCAGGGAGCATGCTGGAAGCAACCAACATTGATGTTTCTCTCTCTCTCTCTTTCTCTCTCTCTCTCTCTCTCTCTCTCTGTCTCTCCCCATCCCTTCTACTCGCTATAAAAATCAATGGAAAAATATCCTTGGGTGAGGATTAAAAGAATTAAAAGAAAACAACAACAAAAAACACACAAAAAAAACCCCATCACAATTGGTATCCTCTACTGTAAGTATCCTCTCTGATAAAGTGATAATATTAGCCATCATTTATTCATGTGTGTGTATGAAAAGAACTATGAAGAACTACCCTGACTCTGAAGAAGCTTAGTATCAGATTGGGAGAATGGGACATAAATGTTCCAGAGGGCTAGTACTGTAATTCAGAAGAGAAATGTATATAAGATGGAAAACTAACCTGTAAGTTTTTAAAGATGAAATTTAGATCAACATTGTTTCGAACCTCAAATATACTAACCACATTTGAAAACTAAAGTATCATAGGTGAAATTTTAGTATTTTTTACTTAACCCAATTTATTAAAAATATTATCAACATGTAATCAATATTAAAATTTTGGTGAGATATTTAATATTCTTTTTCTCTTACTTTTTTTAATCCTTACCCAAGGATATGTTTTACTGATTTGAGAGAGAGAGGGAGAAGGAGAAACATTGATGTAAGAGAAACAGCGATAGGATACCTCTCATATGTGCCCCGACCTGGGACTAAACCCCCACGTGCCCTCACAGAGAATCCAGAATCGAATTCATGACCTTTCGTGTATGGTACAATGCTCCAACCAACTGAGCCACACTGTCCAGGCTATATTCTCTTTTTCATTGTAAATCTTGAAAATCTGTGTATTTTATACTTACAGAACATCTGTGTGAACTGCCATATTTCAAGTGCTCAATAGGCACATTCAGCTAGTGGTCCCCATTTTAAACAGCACAAATTTAGGTGGTAGATAAAGTATTCCAAGCTTCAAGAAAAAGCAGAGCGGAATTAAAGGGTATTATGCAAACAAGAACAGAGTAGTCAGAACAGTGAAAAAAATTTAAAAGCAGTGACTAAAAAGCATAGGAAGGAAATTATTAAAAGGGAAAAGAAAGTAATATCAAATACTGCAGAAGCTGGAAGAGATCTCTGCATTTAAAACCTAGGAGTCATGTGACCAGTGAGTGGGCTGTCCAGTGAAGCTTTGGAAACAAAAGCACATTAGAAAAAATTAAGGTATTTTTTAAGCCATTACTTTTTTGTCAATAAAATTTGACAGAGGGAAGAAGGGAGAGAATTGGGACAGTATTTTGAGGAAAGGGGCTTATTTGATCACATCTGGAAATTGAGGAAAAGGGTTAATTTCCTGTAGAAGGAGAAACTCTTAATTTAAGACTCTAGAATGTTACTGATAAGGAAGAAGCCAAAAATCAACAGGAGAAAATAAGACAAAGAAACTAAGTAGAAGAGAATGGCACTGAAGGAAAGAAGAGAAGAAAATAAAAGGGATAAAGAGAAAAATTCTTGTTTCCAAGAGAAAATATGAAAAATCTCATCTCAGAAGGACTATCTCAGTAAAGTAATTCTAGAAGTCATTAATAGGAAGTAAACAAAGTAAGAATGTGAAAGAAGCTTGAGGCAGAGTGGAAAGTTTTGATCTTTACCCTTTGAGGGAAAGTGTTCCTCAAAATACAGTCCCCAGGCTTGCATCAGCATTACCTGGGAAGGTGATAGAAATGCCCATTAACGGGCATCAAATCACACCTACTGAGTCAGAATTTCTGTGAGACCAGGATTCTGGGCTTTAACAAGACCCTTCAGGTGATTCTCATGCACACAAAACTGAGAAGGTTCTCCAAATAGAGAATCTCACTAACATATAAGCACTGTATATGAGGATGATATCTATAAGTCAAAAGCAGAAACTCAGAGCCCATGAAAGAGGTAGAACAATTCCTAGGGA